CTCTCTAGTCTCTACAACCCAGAGATTAACAGAGTTTTCAAATCCACGTTATTGAACTCCCCTAATGCATAAGTTAATAACCCACACTATATACTCTCCTTATGCATAAGTTAATCACATACATTATAGGAGTACTTTAAATTTCTCATTGTCCCTGCACCGTACAATATCCTTTTGATGATATTAGCACTATAATATTAATAGCAATGCAATCTCAAACAAGTTAGGATCAGCTATATGAATCCTCATTGACCATATTCACCATTTAAATACATCAAAGGATGGTCATCAACCTACAGCCACCCTCCTAATTTATATGGGCATGAGACCAGCAACATGAGTAAGCTCACTCTGTACAAAGATTCCTCTTCGTGCAGTGCTTCATTAACAAAATTACCTATCACCTATCAAAAAGGAGTACTATAATCAATTATGCAACTTTTTTCTCCAGTATAACCTTCTAATTCAAATTTCTTGTGGTTAACTACCCAATGAAATCAATGAGTCATTCCTCAAAGGAGGTATTATTTAATTCCTCAACATTGCAATTCGAATAACTTCTTGTAAAGTCATAGCAGTTCTTTGTAAAAATATTCACCTTAGCAATATTACAATAACAAATTGATTCTTATAATGCAAAAACCAGTCTACAGGAACTTAAAACGTAATATGACACTTATAATGAAAACTGAGTCTTTTCCACAATTTTTGAGCATAGACTAAGACTAAATAAACATGCACATAACCAAATTTAATTCGATTTTAACAGATCATATGTAACTCTCCTTATACATTGACTGCAATAGGCCTCCCAGAGCACAACTCTCCTTATAAATTTCACATCTACATACTGTCAACTTCTGTAGAAGTTGAAAATCCCCAGACCAAATCATATATCATGAGCCATCATCACCAGCCTCATAAATCATTAATATCAAATGTTGATAGCATCACCCATTTTGTTCTATTATAATATCCCAACAAATGCAATAGCCCTTGCTGGCTTCCGTTTACCTAAATAAAAATGTAATTTTACTTCACTACGAGACAATAGAGCACTACGAAATCATTTGTCACCCAGGCAGTCAGTTAACATTCTTGTATCATACTAAATCCCAAAATAACGCAGTAGATCATAACAAACTAAAGCTTTAAACCAAAAATGTAAAACTCCGATTTCGTTAGATCCCAAACCAACAATCTTTAGTCAATTCAAGATTTGGTCAATATACTCTTAACATTTACCCTCAACTTGAACAAATACTTTCAAAATCAATAGCGATTAAACCCTATTTAGAAGAAAGAACAAGACGTAAATTGAATCAATCAAAGAAAACGATGAAAATTGGATTGCTTACCGGTGATGCTGAGAATTAGTAGGCCAACGAGAAAGAGAAGAACTTGAACCCTCTTCTTCTCAATCATTGAACTCAAAAATGACTACACACAAACCCTAAGTATCAAAAGCGAATCTAAGAAGATGGATCTGCAGCAGTTGAGTATCTATGAACTTGACTCAGTAGACAAAGAACGCGTTGGGATAAATGAATTTATTTATTTTTGCAGTTCGTTAACTAAGCGGGAGACGGAAAAGCAAAGCGACGGACCACTATCAATTAATTTCTCTAAGATATTATACTCTCCCGTAGGCGTGCGCGTCCGGTTTCTTCGATTCGATTTAATCAAATTTTGATTCGATTTTTTTATATTTGATTTTATAATAGTTTATATCAAATTAGATCGATTTGTTTTTTCTACTTTGATTTGGTTTAGTTCGATATTTTTAAATCAGTTTTCGGTGCGAATAAAAATTTAAAAAAAATATGATAAATTGTTAAGAGTTTCATCATGTATTAATAAAAATAAAGAGGGCATAGATGAATTTTTAGCAAAGATGTCAAAGGATTTGTTTCCGTTTCTTAGCATGGATTACTATGATTTTGCTAAAGCCTAAAGACTTTCTCCCATACCGACATGTTGAATGAATAAAGAAGAGAGCAAGCAGCCTAACAAGCACGATGCCATGATGAACTTTCGAACAATCAAATATAAGGACTCACAATGTACAATTGTATATAAAAAAAACAATAGTTCAACATTTTATTGACATTATATTTGTTGTCATTTAAAAATTGAAAATTTAAATAGGTCATGTAAATATTTTGAGAAAATTCAAAAGTGTATAACTATTATTAATTAAGCAATATAATTTAAATATTTTTAAATCTAGTAAATAAAACTTCGATTCTTCAGTACATCGTAGTTTGGGGACTATTGCACCGAACTCCGAACAAAGAATCGAAGTTCCACAAAACATCGAAGAATCGAAATTTTTTGGTTCAATTCGATTTTTTGGTTTTTCGATATTTATGCCCACCCATACTCTCCCGTGACATACCAGTGTATTCACTTTCTACTCCATGAAAAAAAAGGTCTATTAATAACCGAATAAATTTTAGATTTAGCAAATATAAAAATTATATTTGTATGTTATAAATATAATTTGCATAATTATGTTGCAAATTTTAAGTTTGTAATGACTATTAATATGTATATTTTGGTATACTTATACAAAAGAAAACTCAATTGTATAAGCATATATTTGAAAACTGTATGAAAATAAGAAAGTATTTTTTTTGTGTAACTTGTGTTTGTATAAAGTGAGAAAGAGAAAAGATTTGAACAGTAGAAAATTTGTATTGTATAATTACAAGTGTATAAGACAAAAAGTTATGTATGTATTTGTATATACAGTTTTTTCTCGGTTTTTATACAAACACAAATATAGTTTATACATTTGTGTTTGCATAAAGTGGGAGAGGCGAGAAAGAGAGAGTGGCGAGAAAAGAAGGGAGACGAATGACAAAGTATTTGCTATGAATTAGAATTAAATCGAACTGTGGTTATAACATTAATTTTAATTAATGATTTACTGTTTTATACGATTTTCCCGTTAATTGAATTTATTACTTTAAGAAATTATTTTAAAATTTTATAAATTTGCATTATGCTTTCGAAAAGTATTAGCAGTGGAAAGTTTGTAGTTGCAAACCAAATACTGTAGTGTTTATATAAAATTTAAAAGAAATTATTTTAAAATTTTATAAATTTGCATTATGCTTTCGAAAAGTATTAGCAGTGGAAAGTTTGTAGTTGCAAACCAAATACTGTAGTGTTTATATAAAATTTAAAAATCAAATATTGTATTTTTCAGAGCCTATTTGGATAGACTTATTTAAGCTGCTTTTAAGCCAAAATTGCTGAAATCTTTTTCTATGGTACTACAAATTTGTTGCATTACCGAATGATCTATAATATGTTCATGATAGAGTTACCTTTCCATTTTCTGTATAGAAAAGAAGTTGAACCTTTAAAATGAGGTCACTAGTTTTCTCAAATTTGTGGTTCTCTTTGCAAAACGTTTAATTATTACTAGTTCTAAAGTGTAGTCAATATGTTCTTTCGTGTCACAATTACTCTTTGTTTCCAGCTCAACAAATAGAATTAACATGGGTTTTCATCATTGACGGTTGACTATTATGATGCTAAAGTACTCCCGAATATACAAAGACACAAGGGAGTATATAACACTCAATGGCCAAGAGTCCACCTAAGCTCAAACGTGAATATTACATATATATATATATATGGTTGATATAAGCAATAATCTGAGTAAATAACAAGAATCAGTTTCCTCCAGATAAAATTCTTTGCAACAATGGAAATAATGTCATAGCAGATCAACCAGAAGTAGTCCGGAACTTCTGTGAATTACTACTTAGTATAAACTTTGTACATATCATCATGTTGATGTTATATTCTGCTTATGCAGGAAAAAGTTCGATATAACCATTGATTTTCTAGATTGATCAGACAAGAAATATCTGAAATTCATTCAATGAAAGAAATTGAACGCAAAAACTATCCTAATCCTAATTTCGGAAACAGTCTCTCCACACCTTCACGAGGTAGTAGTAAGGTCTACCCTCACTTGTGGGATTTAATTGGATATGTTGTTGTTGTCACAATAGTAATAGCACTAGAGAAGGAATGCACTGTGTAGTTCGGGCACAAGTTGAATACTATTGCTTTCTCCTCAGCAATTTTGTCTGAGGGTTCGGTCACCAATGAGTGTATCTCTATGTGAAGAGCACTTGACCTCAAACCACAGTTACTCCTACTTTGAGGCTAAAACTTGGCAAGGGAAAGTTCATCTAGTTCAATGTAATCCATCCCATATATTCTGGATCTTGCGGCACCAGTTATCTAGCTACATTCTATTACAGTTGACACCATTTGGAGGCAGCTTTCCTGAAAAAGAGGGAAACGACACCGGCCCCCACCCCTCTTGTAACTTATGCATGCTTTGCTGCACTTACTGAACCTACGGATTACCTGAACCAAAAGGCACTAGAAGGACTGAGGGCAAGCGAAATAATCACTCGTGCTACCAAGGACATTGACAGCAGTAACAATACAACAATACAATCTACTACTGCTCTTCAAAAACCAAACAGCCTAAACCAAAAGGCACCAGACAGACTTGAGGGCAAGCGAGATAATCATGTATGCTACCAGGAAGGATATTGACAGCATTGACAACACAATAATAACAACTACTACTGCTCTTGAACAACCGTACAGTTGCCATTCTCAATAATGGATAAAGGAAGACTTTGCGACCAATGTAAAACTAGTCAATTCATGGTAGCTTTCACTATGATCCTTACCTGAATTCTCAATATCAGCCATGACATGACACATCAGTTATCCCTCATTGTAAATATCATCGTAAACATGACAAGCTACTACTGCTCTTCAAAATCCAAACAGTTGCCATTCTTAATAATGGATAAAGGAGGACTTTGTGACCAATGTAAAACTAGTCAATTCACGATAGCTTTCACTAGGATCATAACCTGAATTCTCAATAACAGAGATGATATGACAAATCAATTATCCCTCATTGTAAATATCATCGTAAACAAAGACCAGTCGGTAAGATACAAACATCCGATTCAACAACTCCAAGCTAATTCTTGGTATTTACATGGTTAAAAAAGAGTAAGCAGACACTAAAACATAACCAACAAAGGCATAACTAACATGACATTACCATCCAAGGAAACTACTAGAATATAGACTAATGGAAGCAACGCTATCCAAACAAGCCATTACAACGATTAAAATTTAAACAATCCTGATGAAGCAATAGGCTGCATTGCACAAGGATTCTGCAATGGCTTCAACAAAGGATCAGCAACATCAGCAGCCAAACCAGTACTGTCAATAACATCATTTAAATACCTGAGCCTATCAGTCAATTCCATTGCTTGTGCCCTCAACACATTGTTCTGTGCCGCACAAATTGCATATCTTTCTGTTGTCTCATCAATCTTAGACACAATATTCTTATTTGCACCCTGTAATCTGCTCACTTCCCCTGTCAAATCTTGCAGAAGCTTCTGCTTCTTCATCCTCGATCGCCTCGCAGATTCCCTGTTGGAAATCATCCTTTTCCTCTTCTTCTCATCCATTCCTGCATACCTTTGATCATCATCTGATGCAGATGAACTAGCACTCTGCCTTAAAGGTGACATTTTTTTTTCTCTCCAATATAAATCAACAGTACCCCAAATCTATGATTTCAAGAGTGCCAACACAAATAAAATAAAAAAGTCTATTCTTCAACAATTTTTTCTTTTTTTAGAAAAAAAATACTTTTTCAGTGGATATTTATTTCTATTCATGAAAAATCATAAAAATGGTAGAGAAACAGCACAGAGAAAGATTGACGAAAACAATCGCCTAAAAAAGTGATGGAAATGGCAGAGATCATAGATTGATTCCTAACTAAAGAAACCCCAAATTCATTGTCATTGAAAAAATCAAAATCAGCAACAACCCCAGAAAGTAAATTACCCACCTTGAAAATTTCTCAAAATAAATAGTACAAACAACAACTTCAGAAAAATGTGAAAAATTGAGATAATGGGGTTGTCGCAAAAAAGGCAATCTTTTTTGTGACAATGAACAAAGGTGGATTGATGAAAGAAGGGGGGAAAAAAGAATCAAGAAGAAGGTGAAAAGACAAAAATGGTAGGTAGAGACGATTAAGGAAGAGATTAATATGGGGAAACCAGAAAGTTTATATTTATTTATTTATTTGGAGGCGGAGAAGAAGAAGAAGATTACGTTACTCAACCTTTGAAAGGTGTTTTTTAGAGTGGTGTAGATAGTTTGAAGGCGAGAAGAATGTTCATCATGACAAATGTAATGCACACCTCTAAAAAAATACAAAATATTCATTGGATACATTGTTTCGAATTTCGATGTACAGGTCAGTTTTCGAGCACTTAAAACTTGATTTTATGGATATTTATGACCTTTTATCAGCGATTAATATATCAGATAACTCTATTGACTAAACTCAACTCTATTGAAACTCTTTAATTTTCAACACAAGTATTATACACCTTTCAATCTTATCTATTTTATATGTTATTTTTTTATTTTATACTAATATTTTTTAAAAAAATATTGTAATTTTATTCTTATATTTTATTTAATGTTTTTAAGTCAAGTTTTTCAAGAGTAACTAACTATACTATTAAGGATATAATAGGTAAAATATGATAATTGATACATAAATTTTATAAAATAATAAGTATTATAGTCCAATTATTTATAGAAAAGAATTACATATAAAATGAGACGATAGAGTATCTGAAATTACAAAAAATTAAAACAATCAATATATGTATTTTTGAATTTGACATCACAAAATTCAAAAATCTTATTTTCTATGTCCATTTTTAATTGTTATGTTGCTTTTTCAAAAATCAATTTAACCAATTTTTAAAGCAAAATTAGATTGCATTAATTCAATGTTTCAAAAAAAATTATATATTCAAAAACTATATGAAAAGCACTAAAAATTTTAATTTTTTCGAATATCAATATGTTGGAAATATATATCGTAAAATGTAAATTAAAATTATTATCATTTGAATTTAAAAAAGAAAACAATAACAATAATTCATTAAGATAGTATTTCCTCTGTCTCATTTTATATGACAACATTTGATCCGACACAAAATTTAAGAAATAATTAAGACTTTGAAATATTTATCAAATTGCCATTTAAAAAAGTAACTCATTTTTCTTTCTTCTCATGAATGTATTATAAAATTAAGTTGGACCAATAAGGATAAAAGAAAAATTATACATTTAAATATTTACTAGATAAAAAAAAAATTTAAATTAAAAAAATTTAATATCAAATAAAATGAAACGAACGAAATACTTATTTTATTAAACTTACGTTCAGTCAAATCAATACAAGCAAATTAAACGAAATATTTTGTAAGTTATTACCGAACTCATTACCAATCAAAATACTTTTTAAGTTCCAAAGCATATACTGAGAATCTGAAAAATATAATGAGACTTTGAAACATTGAATAAAGAGAAGGAAACATATAATTGAAAAGTTGACAATTTTTCCTTTAATTTTGTTTAAAAGGAAATGAAGAATTCATACTTAATCAAATAAAAAACATATTTATATCATATTCAAGATGTCTACTTTTTTTCCCAATTATTTCTAGGTGATTAAACTCATATAAATGAGTTGATATAATTTATTTTTTTAGTAAAATGATAGTGGCAGTTGCAGTTATGGAACAATCTAATCTCAAAAACATTTCACTAAGAAATTCAAAATGACAAAATAATATCCAATCAAAAGGATAATACTTATAATATTTTAAATAATGTCAAAGTTGGTTGAATTGGATAAGTGTTGCAACGGATGAATGGCGCGAAAAGATAGATTAGGATAGAACTGAATTTTATTACTAATTTATTTGATGTTTGATTTGGACATAATAATTCTTAATTGTTTAAGGCTCAGATTAGATGAATCTCGAATTTATAATTATTTTCTGTTAATTTTAATTCATGCTTAAATAGTTATATTAGTGTTGTAGCAATAATATTTATTCCACTAAATAAAAAAGTATATTATTTTCATAATAATCTTTTTTGATGTCAAATAAATGAGTTCTCTTATATTATAATAAAATAAGTTAAATGATTTAGATTGAATATTTCCTTTGATTGAAAAAGACAAATTTTGATGCGTGCATGGAACTACTAAAAAAGAAGAGCTGCCCTATCTTTAGAAAAAGCTTCTAGAAACAATTTTTTCATATCACATACGTTGATTAAGAAATTGTAATCTAAATATAATGCGCCGTTTACTAAATTATTCATATTTAATATCTCTTTAAAATTGAATATTATTAAGTAGATAGAAAATAAATGTATAGCTGAAATTGTTTTAAAACAAATTTTTCTATCCACTTAATAATTGCCGTTTACTATATACATTTATTCTAAAATAATTGCCGTTTACTAAATTATTCATATTGTTTAATAAGTGTTATTTTTATCTTAAACTTTTAAGATAGCAATTATTTTAAAACAAATGAAAATAATGATTGTTCGACTAATTTAAATTAAATAATAATTTTGCAAAGTTCCGTTGACAAATACTTTTTCCGTCCACTATTAATTGTCATATTTTTCATTTCTAGAGTCAAATTTTAAAAATTTTGACTAACATTTTAAGATATATTTTTTCATCACGTTGATTTGTAAAAAATTGCAATGTATAGCATTTTTTCATATAATTCTTAAATATCTAAATTTTCTATTTAATGAATTAATATAATCTAATTTAATATTTAAAATAAGTCAAATTAACTCTAAAAAAATATAATATAAAAAATAAAAATAAAAAGAGAAAATACCATGTATCTACAATCAAACGATGTGCATGGACCAAGTCAAAAGTGTATTAGTAGAAAAGGAAAAAATGAATTTTATTTATGAAGCATTCGAATTGTCTTAAATTTACTCTCCGTTTTTTTGGTCATTTCTTCCTATAATTTCATTGACGATTGTCCAGATCGACTCTTAATATTTGTTCCAGTGAAATTACATAGACAAACAATTTTTTGTTAAATATAACTGAAAATTTTCAAATGTATTCTTATACAATTAAAAAGGTCAGACTAAACACTCTTACATGGTTGAATCCTTTTTTTACATTGAAAACGTTAATGGGAGAAGCATAATTTAGATGCAAGGTAACGGTAGGCTCCTATGAACCAAAAACTTACATATAAATTCTATATAAGATAAATCATAAACGTTTAAGGTAAAATTAAACATTTTCCCCTATAATAAGAAATTAAAATGGTTCTATATGTTTCTGTCAGTAGAATACTACTTGTGCCCTAATTGTGTTGTACTGAATATGTAGTGGTGCTCAGCACAGGGGGAGAGGGATTAGCGCGAAAGTGGGGTCCTCTCACTAGGCAGGGCTCACAACCAAAGGATGCACGAGGTGAAGTTGCCACTATGACTTAACAATTGGAAGGGTCGTTTTATAGGCATTTCTAGACCAATGTTAGTAGAAACGGTTAAATAGATGAATCTTGTACGTAACTCAACCTCAAAAGTTAACTCAAGAGTTATTCAGGCTATATTAAAGACACCATCCATCCCTTTAAAGGGAAGACCTGTGGGACTCTTCACAAGAACTGATGATGTTTAGTTAGTATTTCTTTGTAATTTTTTATCAAATTACATCATGTATGATGTATTGGATACTTTCTTTTATAAAGCAATTGGAATTCTCATATACATTAGTACAGTACAAAACAGATTACCTGGAAAAAATTGAGGATTTTTATTTCTGTGAACAGATTTCATGTTACACTGAGCAGATAAGAGAAATTATATACTATTTGCAAAAAACCAACTCCTAATCCTGCACTTTCTTTGAATAAATAACAAAGATTGCCTCCTCCAATATCCCCCCCTCCCCCTACTTCAGTCTAACAATTCTCTTCAAGACTGCTATTTAATATATCTATCATCGAAACCTCAGTGATAGTGATTTTCCCCAAACCCCGATCAGATCAAAACGTCTTACCAGGTATAATAGAGTAGATTTTTATGGGGTTCAACGCAAGAACTCGCAACCAGACGAGCATTCTCTCGCTAGGTCAGACACCTTAAATCACATTGTGGAAGGTGGTCAACAAGACAAGGATCCACCAGCAATCTTTGAACTCTGGAAACAACGGCCACAGATTTTTCTTTCATGAAATGCCTGAGCCACGCAAACTCATGATGTACCTGTCAGCGTAAAAATGTAATTTCAGGCATAGAGCCTAAAATATTTAAGCATACTTTAAATGTAACATCAAAGCAACAGCAACAAACTATGATTTTCCCATGGACAAGCTAGAATACAGTAAAGAGACGATCAACCATGATATCAGAAAAGGGTTAAATCAGAACTTTTAGGATAGGTATTATAGCTTCTTAATTAGTTAAGAACAAACTTCCTGAATTGAAAGGATAATACATAGATGAAGACAAGCATCCTTCTATAAGAAATGGCAAGACATTACTAAACTGGGAAAAACAAAGTCAAAAGTCGTATTCCAACTCCCACAGCCATGAACCCTGAAAATATATCAACTATTCTTGGATTAAAGACAATGAATGAGTAGGGAACACCAGCTGCTTCTAAATTAAATCATCTACAAACTGGAGATTCACTTAGTAAGATGAAGATAGTAACATGCTCCTATTAGGTCAATAGGCTTAATAGTTGATGTTTAGGTTATTATCCCCTTTTTTTTGCATTTATAAGCAGTTGCTTCATTCTGTCATTTATTGTATCCATACGTATAAGTCACAATCGACCATAGCACAATGCTGTTTTTGTATAATTTCCTTTTATGAAGATATTGTAGATGCTTTTATACATGTAGTTATATATTTATATTGATGTAAAGAGTCCATTTCACCAAGCACACTTGTGTTACATTCTGGACTTTAAGGATAGTGATGATACATTTTGTGGAAGTATGAACGGAGGTAATTAAGCAAATGAACATACAAATTTGTTTACAAGAGAAAATAGGTCCACCGTGGAATCTAATTCATCAGCTAAGTAGTGAATTACCAAATCATTTACTCCCTCTGCCCTAGTTAATGTGTCACCGCTTGACTAGGCGCAAAGTTTAAGAAAGAAAGGAAGACTTTCAAAATTTGTGGTCTAAAATAAACCTTAGATAGATAATTGTCTTGTTATAAATCATTTTATTAAGG